AAAGATACATGGTTGTCACCAAGGGGGACTAACCTGATTAGCAGGGGCTGGAGGACTATAAAGGAGGGATAGGTTATTTCTGAGAGAACTAGGTATGAGAAAAGCAATATATGATGTCTAGTTCACTGGGCCAGATGAGACTGTGTTCACCAGAGACATGGAAGAAAGCTTAGGTTAACTGGGACCTCAAGAATGGTATGGGGCTTTAATGGCTTTAGTAAGCCCTTTGATGGGACAGGATCTTTGTAAAATGAGAGAGGCTTTGGCAAATCTAAATGATTATGACCATCATGTAAAACATGTCTGTAAAATAACAGAACACCCTATAAGAGATATAAAAAAGACCAGACAGAGGAAATGGTCCACTTGGGTTACTCGAAGACAAATGTGGCAAGACTTATGTCAAGCCCAAATCCCCAGAGAAAAAACTGATAGAAAACCAAATTCGGTACTAAGGCATTTCTGGAAGGTTTTAAAACCAGAAGAACAGTTTACAAAGGACATGTGAAGAACAAAAGGGATGGTTAAGAATCCCCAAGGATTAAATAACCTGCATTTCTCTTCTGATAAAGTCTATACTAGGGATGGAAGCAGGTTTTCCCACCAAGTTCTCCCTCAGCAACCTGGTATGGTCAATGGGAAGAGAAGAGATATGGCTACAGTCAGGAGGCAGACCCAGAGCCTGTCTGACTCAGGGAACCAACAAGTGCAGCAGGGACAGGAGAAGCCCCCTGCCTCCTTAGCCCAGTACAGGGTCAGACAACTGGGGCCAACACCTGTAAATGTATCAAGAATAAAAGAATCCAAAGGGATAACTAGTAATTGTAAAGAGCTAACAAAATTAATGCCTCATACCCATGCTATGATACCTAACAAGGATCTATGGAGAAAACAGTTAATACGAATGGACAAAACTTTTCCATGCTGTGAGACCTTTTCTATGATTGATTTAATATATACTGTTAATGTTCCTTTCAGTATTTTACAGATGTGAAACCCATTTGAAAGATACCTGAAGAAGCAAAGGACAGCTATAGCTGTAAGATTCTTGGGAGTTTTATGTAGGTTGGGTAAGATGAGGATAGAGACTCCCAAACTATTCCACTA